AGGGAAGGAGTTCCCATAACGGAGAAATATCTCCGTGATGTCTCGTTCCCTCTCTCAGGGAACCGAGGTTACGATAGTAACCGGAGCGTTTTGTTTCTGTAAATGTGCACAAAACAGAGGAGTCGTGTGATAACTTTGTATGAACTCCTTTTAATGTGTAACCACCACTGAATAAGAACCAACCTCTCCCTTTACTCATCTCTGCCCCCACATGTCCATCTCCAAACATGCAGCTCCCATAAACACATGTATGTGGGACACACACACATGTTCTACAGTTTCCAAAGCTTCAGTACATAAAGGCACTTACATCTGCCTTACGAATGTACTGCAAATGCTCTAAAGTACACTGAAGGTGAACAGAAATGAGATATACAGCTCTCTGCTTGCAGCGTCAGTCACGCTCGACAGGAAAGTGAGTGAAACACACACAAACACACATTTTTATCAACTAATACGTCATTAATAGCGGTTCACTTCCGTGATTTGGTACGATTGCGTTCACATTAGCAGCGAACCGTACCGGAGTTCACTTGAACCATACCCCAGACCACCCTTTTTAAACTGACTCGGGTACGGTTCGTGTGTGCACACCCGAGTTCGAAAGACCACGTTCACATCATCCAAACGTACCAAACTCTGACGTCAATCGAACCCGGGTGCTCACCAAAAGTGCTAGTGTGAAAGCACCCTTAATGTACTGCAGAGGACAGAAACAAGCGGGCATCTCGGCCTTTGTTAGCGGCAACCCTCATTTTAAACGAGATACAGTACAAAAACACGGCTTGAACGCCATTGGCCAGTTTCACTGGCGTGATTCAATAAGGCTTCAGTAGTATTTGGAGAAAAGGGTAATTCCCTTAGCAATGTAGAGTGACCGAATTGAAAGGGAACAAAGGATCGGCAACCATGCAGGCAGCTGTAAGAAGGCAGGTGCTGCTCTCTGAAGAAGAAAAAAGACGACAGCTGAAACTAAAAGTTTATATTGCGTATTATATTGCTAAAGAAGAGACAGCCTTTGTGAAGTTTGGTCCGCTTATTACCCTACATAAGAAAAACAGAGTGGACATAAATTCAACATATGACAATGATAAGAGGTGTGCAGAAATGATTGGACAAATTGCAGACACAATGAAAGGAAGCCTTGCAGAAAAGTTGAGAGCAACACATTATCTGTCCGTTTTGATCGACGGAGACAGCTACATCGATTATTCCTCGAACATGGAATGTGAAATAGTGTATGTGCGGCTCTTGGAGAACGGAAAGCCAGTAAACCTTCTGGTTGGACAACAGAGCCTTGAACATTCACATGCTCTTAGTAAAAAAGCTGTTTCTCTCCTTGTTTTAGATTATTTTTGTATAACATTTAAAAGTTATAAAAGTGTTTGCTAGGGCTGATTATTTGGGTGCAACTGCTTGTCATATGTTAATATGGTTAATGTTAATCTGTCTACCATAACAAACTCTATAATGTTGCAGTTTCATTTCTGCATTTAAATGCAATTGTACACAGTTGAATTATGGTCGTTAGTCCTATTAGCAGCACAAACATGAAATTATGAATGAAATTATTTTATTAGTATTTATTAGTTTCCTATTAATTGTGCAGCCATAGTAATTTGTAGTAATAGTTTTTTATATTTTGTTCACTATGTGATTATTTAATGTTTTCCTTCAAGGGGTGCTGAATGCCACCAAGGCTGCATTTAATAACCGGAGGATAATGGAGGATGGCTAAGAAATTGTGTCTTTCGGTGCAGATGGGGCCTCTGTTAATATGGGTACACGTGGGGGTGGGATTGCCCACCTGCAGAGCGAGGCAGGGAGCCATATAATCCCAAATCCACTGCATGCCACACAGGTTTGTATTCACAAGTAGTCAAATTGTTTCTCTCATCAAATTAGAAACAATAAAGTTAGGCAATACAGCTCAATACAATTCAATGGAAATTGTGATCATAGTTAGCCAACAGTGCTTTTGAGAAATGCAGCCCTGCACAATTCTGAATAAATTTAATATCACAATGAAACTGAAAGGGAATGTCACATGCCTCAAACATCCACAGCTGAAGCGGCACATAGAAGCTGCCATCAGCATCAGTGTAGATGCCATCAAAGCAAGGTTTGGTGGTTTGGTGAAGAATAAGGGGATCCAGACCATACTGGATTCTTTCAGAGTGCTCAACCCTGACACATGGCCAGAGGAACAAGCTAACCTACTTACCTCTGGAGATGACAGCATAGCAGACCTGGTGAAGCATTTTGAAAAGCCTCTAACAGAGTAAGAATTAATTTGATAAGGCACAGCTTTGCCATTTGAGACACCTGTTGCATATGTGCAAAGTCAAATTGCTCTGTTCTGTGTTTCAGAGCAGGGTGCAAAATTGCTACAATCCAGGATGAATGGCAAGGGCTCAAAATCCTAGTGAGGCAGAACTTCAAGGACAAAACCTACTCTGGCTTATGGGAGATGCTGATGACAAAGGACCCCTACAAGCAAGACTACAAAGTAAGGCAGAGCAGTCCAAAATTGTCCAGACACAACTTCAATTTTTTTATGTAATTAATTTAAAATGTTGTCATCTCCCATAGAACATACTAGAGTTGGTGCAGATCATGCTGGTGCTCCCTATTTCTGCTGCCCAGTGTGAAAGAGGTTTTTCTGCCCAAAACCGCATCAAGAATTCAACAAGAAGCTGCCTTGGAGTGTCCACAACAGAAGACTTGATGCGGATCAGTTTAGAGGGGCCTTCATTAGAGCAATTTGATCCCAGTCCTGCTGTGGACCGCTGGCTAAGCTCAAAGCGGGCAAGACATCCTGCTTACAAAAGCTGCTGGGCCCATGATATCCTTTCTGTCTAAATGGAACAAGTAGACTTTAAGAATTTAGAACCAAGAACTACTTTATTACAGATGTTCAGTCAGATCATACAGTTTAAATAAAAAAATATTAAATACTGTTTAAAGAGACCGCTGTTGAAATAATTAAAATAGAACCTAGTGTACTTATTGTTTTCAAATAAATGAAATCACTTTGCTTTTAAAGGGCTCCTCGTATCCCTTTATTAGGTAAAAACACATTTAGTAAATTTTCTTTGCGACCCTAAAATTCTTTGATGTGCTCCTTCTGAAAAAAGTAAGCGTCAAGCCCTGCTCTTGAGTCTTTGCTAGATCATGGCAGAACACTAGAAATCTCTGAACAACAAGCAGTGGGAATTTAACAAAATGTAGCGAGTGCTGTCAACGCATTACATTACAATCACAAGCAGCAGAGTGAATTAAAAACCACCAGCAGACAGACGTCTAACACAGAAACAGAAATTGTGGAGGAAAATATCCACATCAAAGTGATTGTCCGGCTAAAGGAAAAGAAAGCAGACCATGTGGAAAGTTGAATCACTAAGCAAAAGTGTGTCATTCCAGCATTAAGAAACTCACTCTGCAAGTTAAACATAATGACCCTCCCCATCATAAACAACGCAACAAACCACAAAGGGTCAAGCAAGTCGCTACAGCATGCACCAGCCACACACAAGATGATTCATCGAGCAGTGAGGATGCTTATGTGTTTGTTTTGAACAGTAATACATACCAGCAACAGCATCAGACACAAATTAAAATAAACGGCACCAAAGTTACAGCTCTGACTGCAAGGCATAAAAGGAATAAAAAACCTGATATCGTCATGAACGGCATCTCACAAAGGGCACATGATGAAGCTCTCCGAGCTGTCTTTCAAAGACTAAAGGACAGTGGTCTTACACTTAATCGTGAAAAAATGTGAGTTTAACAAGCACAGACTTGAGTTTTATGGATTTATCTTTTCTGCCAGTGGTATCTCAGCAGATCCCAAAAAGGTTGCAGCCATACTGCAAGCCAGTGAGCCCAAAGATCCTGGAGAAATCTGAAGCCTACTCGGAGTGGCAAACTACTGATCACAGTTTATACAGGACTTTTCAACGATCAGTGCACCTCTTCGTGAACTGACTAAAAAAGGCACACCATAGCAATGGGATGATACACACAAGCAAGCTCTTCAGCAGCTCAAAGATGCTTTAGCCAGTGCCCCCATTATGTGCTACTTTGATCCCTCAAAGGACACTGAACTCGTTGTTGATGCTAGCCTGCTAGGCCTCTGTGATATTTTGGCACAGAGGCAAAACGGAGAAAAATGCATCATTGCATACGCCAGTCGTGCACTCAGTGATGTTGAAAAATGATACTCACAAACTGAACGCGAAGCTCTAGCCATTGTATGGAGCTGTGAGCGTTTTCACTTGTACCTTTATGGCCAATCTTTTACTCTAGTTACCGACCACAAGCCCCTAGAACTGATATGGAATAATCTAAGATCAAAGCCACCAGCCCGAATTTAAAGGTGGGGACTCCAGCCGTACCAGTTCAGAATTTAGTACAGAAAAGGGACTGACAATCCTGCTGACTTCATGTCCAGACACTCTGTCTCATTTGAGACAGAAAACAAGACAAGGCCATCTAAAGTAGCAGAGGAGTACGTCAATTTCATGGCTCTGCAGGCCACACCAAAGGCCATGACACTAGACGAGATAAAAACCGAGACAAAATAAGATCCTGTTCTTCAGCAGGTCTGCTCACACATAAGAGACAACTCATGGCACATAAATGCATGTGACCCACTTTTCGCAGACACCCTAAGACATTACAGAAATGTCAGTTCTGAGCTCACAGTGTCATCAGATGATGATCTCATACTCAGAGGTTCCAGAATAGTCGTACCCTCCACTCTAGAGCAAAGAGTATTACAGCTTGCCCACGAGAGCCATCAAGGAGTAGCTAAAACCAAAAGTCTTCTGAGAGAGAAGGTGTGGTTTCCCAATATTGATCGAAGAGTCGAGACCATGATCACAAATTGCATTGTTTGTCAGGCAAATAACACCGTCACTGATGTTGAACCGCTTCAAATGTCTAAATTGCCAGAAGCACCATGGCACAATCTGAGTGCAGATTTCTATGGACCATTTCCAACCGGGGAGTATCTGCTGGTCATTATAGATGACTACACAAGGTATCCTATAGTTAAAATTCTTCACACTACTTCAACAACTTTGGGGAAAGCCATTCGAACTGCACAAACTCATGGTATCCCATGGAAATAACAGTTAAATGTCTTCCTTCGTGAGTACAGATCCTCACCTCACTGCACAAGGGGAACTTCACCTGCTGAGTTGATCTTTAAAAGAAAGATTCGTACAAAAATTCCCATTGCTACTCCAATTGCCACCGATGCTGATGATGACATCCGCCAAAAAGGCAAAAAATAAAATGAAAGCCTTTTCTGACACCCGAAGACATGCCACACACATCAACATCAAACCTGGTGACACAGTGTTGTGCCGGCAACAAAATCCAAACAAACTAACGACACCATACAACACAAAGCCACTCACAGTCACCAAAGTCAAAGGCACAATGGTGACTGCAGAAGGGCATGGACATTCCATTACAAGAAACTGTTCATTCTTTAAGAGACTCAACCAGGAGACACCAGATTTTTTGTTTGAGCTAGGATTTGAAAATGAGACAGAAGAAACTGACTCATGCATGGTCCCTCGGAGATATCCTGTTAGACATAACCATAGGCCTCCTGCCTACCTCTCTGACTATGTTTAGGTAGACTGTGTGGTCTAACTACATAGTTGCACAGATTGTTCAAAGCAGGTGTTTCAGACTGTTTAGAAAACAAGGACTGACTTTTTGTTTCAACGTAAAGTGTTCATATTATTCAGAGATGGAGTTTTACAGCGAACTTTCTACAATACTCAAGGGTTAAATATATTAATGTTAGGTTATCATAACAAACAAAAGTTACTGTTGTGTGTTACAAGTTGCAAAGTTTAAAAAAAAAAAGAATGATGAAATGTATTTGGTTTGACCTGTGACGACACAGGATGTGACGCCCCTCCCATGTAAGGCATATGATAGTCTGCAACCACAAGTGATGCGGCAAAAAAGTTTGTTAGTGTTCCAGTATCCTTGTCTGCTATGTCTCTACAACATGTATGTGGAAGATGCCATGACGTCGAGAAACACTACAACTTCCAAAAATAACATTGACAGCATCAAAAACAAACCCGTAAACTGATGTACAGCGGCATTTTTTAAAACCGTATTAAATGTATGCATCATGAATATGGAATTCCACGGTTTTAATTCCAATCGATAAATTCAGTTAAAATAATAAAGGGCTGTTACTAGTAAAAATTCAATCAGTGTCAACAAAAGCTATCAGAGCCATCATTACTGAATGCATTTACACTGCAATTAACCTACAAATGCATAACATGTTGTGAAATTAATGTTTTAAATTTTGAAGGCAGAAATATTTCAATATGTCAATCAATTAAATTATACATTTAATATTAAACAAAAACAGAGACACTAGGTGGCGGCAAGTCACTGTCTTAACGAGTGAGTTCAATCCATTCAACTGATTCCTTCAAATAGGTTACGCTGATTACGAACTAGTTCTTTGGAGTCAAGTTGTGGTTTTTTGATGAGAGGCTTAATAATAGCCAGTTTGAAGGTTTTGGGAAAATATCCTAATTACAATGATGAATTAATAATAGTCAGAAGAGGATCTATGGCTTCTGGAAGCACCTCTTTTAGGAGCTTAGATGGAATAGGGACTAACATACATGTTGTTGGTTTAGATGATTTAACAAGTTTATACAATTCTTCTTCTCCTATAGTAGAGAACGGTCTTTGACATGGAAAAGTACTTACCGTCACATCAGGGTCTGAGCAGGCATACGCACTTTTCCTTGTGGCAAAGTTGGAGTACTGCAGCTATTTGAACATCTAAGCTGCAATAATAATAAAAGCGGTGTACGTGCAAGCACCGAATTCATCATAAACAACGAAGATGCAGTGTGAGAGATTAATTGTGCAGTGTAGTCAGATTTTTTATTAATGGGAGTTTTTGGGAGATTAAACTGACCTTTTTAGTAGCTTAATGTTGAGAGTTCTTTACTTGCTTTCTGTAGTTTATTCCATGTTGTTTTGTTTTTTACAAGAGAACTTGCGAAGTCTTGATTTTCTACTAATGCGTAAAATAGAAAAAAAATGCATAAACGCATCTCCGACTGTTTTGTCTGTGCAGCCTATAAGAAAAGGCCTATGTCGTGCAATAACGGTTTTAATCTATTCTATTCAATATCATTGTTAACTGTTTTCATTTATAACTCCACTGCAGTCACAGTGCTTTTGTATCTTCTTTGGCCTGACGGAGCTGTTCTGAGTTTTGCAGTGAACCATGGTTTGTCGTTATTGTAGGTTAATTGAATCCTGGTAGGAATGCACATCTTCACAGAAACAGATATAAAATGTTACAGTCTCAGTGAGCTCGTCCAGCAGCAGCTTCAAAAACACTCCAATCAGTGAGGTCAAAACAAGCTTTTAAATCCTGCTCTGCTTCATTAGTCCACCTTTTTACAGTCCTTAATACAGGTTTAGCTGATTTCAGTTTCTGCCTGTAGGTCGGTATAAGATGAACCAAACAGTGATCAGAGAGCCCCAAAGCTGCTCGTGGAACAGAGTGATATGCATTCTTTATTGTGGTGTAACAGTGATCCAATATATTACTGTCTCTGGTGGGACATGTGATGTGCTGTCTGTATTTTGGCAGTTCACAGGAGAGATTTGCTTTATTAAAGTCCCCGAGAATGATTAAAACAGAGTCCAGGTGTTATTGTTCTGTGTCTGTGATCTGATCAGTGAGTTTCTGTAAAGGAGGAATGTAGACACTGACGCAAATGAATGAGCAAAACTCCCGCGGTGAATAGAATTACTTGCAGTTAATGAAGAGCACTTCTAGATCTGAACAGCACATCTTCTTTAACACAGTTACATCTGTACACAACCTCTCATTGATGT